ACCCCCCTCCCCTCTAGAACCCTCAGTTTGTTTCTCAGAGTCCATAGTCTCTCACGGTTCGTCTCCCCCTCCGATTTCCCCCTTCATTTTTCCCTTCCTACTATCTTCTTCCTTTTTTTTAACATATAATGTATTATTTGTTTCAGAGGTACAGGTCTGTGGTATTTGACCAGCCAATTATCCTTGGAGTTACGCTGGGTTCTTTCCAACTTAAAGGTACTTACTGTATGATTTTATGTGCATAAGCTTAAAATCGGGGAAATTAATAGTGTTAGAAGGCAGGGGTATAGGCAATTTTTTTTTTTCTTGATCTGAGCCCTACTATACAGATCGCTTCACTTTGTGAAAATGCACTGAGCTCTGCCCTTACAGTTTGTGTACTTTCTGTATTTATACTCTAACAATGAAAGTTTAAGAGTAAATAAAGCTATGTAAACTTTTTTTTTAATGGAAAGGTGATCATTATATGGTGTTAAAAAGTGCTTCTCAAATTGTACTAAGCATCATTTACCTGGAGAACTTGATAAAACAGTTTCTAAATACTCCTTTCAGAATCTGACCAGTAGGTCTGGATTTGCATTTCTCACAAGTTCCCAGGTGATGCTGTTGCTCTGGCCTGCAGATCTCATTTAGTGTTGAAGGAAAATAAATCCAGAAAATACCATTCATTTTTAGATTTCTTTGTGTAAAATACATAAGGTGAAAAAAAATCTAGAAATAAAAATCAAGTTTTTTTAAAATAGTTTTTTATTGATGACGTGTAATGGTTTTATCGTTAGTGTTAAATGATACTTTTTTTAAATGTCTCAGTTTTAATTTAAAATTTGGTAAATATTATTAGATATAGCCCACATTCAAGAAAGGTCTTTGGAATTCTTAATGTATTTTTAAGAGTGTAGAGAGGTCCTGAGAACACAAGTTTGAGAACAAAGTGGACATTCATAGAACTCTGCATTAAACAAGCAGGGAATGCATACTGTAACATACATTGAAGAAAATTATAGACCTAGCATATCATAAAGTAAGTTTCAACAGATTGAAAAAATGTGGTATTATCAGTTTTTTTTTTTTTTTAAGATTTTATTTATTTATTTGTTAGAGAAAGAGAGCACAAGCAGGGGGAGTGGGAGAGGGAGAAGCAGGCTCCCTGCTGAGCAAGGAACCTGATGTGAGACTGGATCCCAGGACCCTAGGATCTTTTTTTAATTTTTTTTATTTTTAAAGATTTTATTTATTTATGATAGAGAGAGAGACAGCGAGAGAGGGAACACAAGCAGGGTGAGTGGGAGAGGGAGAAGGAGGCTTCCCGGTGAGCAGAGAGCCCGATGCGGGGCTCGATCCCAGAACCCTCGGACCATGACCTGAGCCGAAGGCAGATACTAAACAACTGAGCCACCCAGGCGCCCATCAGTGTGTTTTCTGACCACAACACAATAAGATTATAAATCTATAAAAGATAAAAATATCCCCTAAATCTGGAAATTTAAAAACACTTTTAAATAACATCTTTGTAAAAACTAATAGGAATTAAAATATGCTTAAAAGTAAACCAAAAAATGTCTATTAAAATTGTAGGATGCTGCAAAATTGGTGCAGAGAAATTTATAGATGTAAATATCTTTTTATTTTAGAATAAAAAAAATGAAAGTTAACTATTCTCCTTGAGAAGTAGATGAAAAGATTTTAGAAAAAGGATGGCACAAAAGATACACAGGGATGTTAGTTTTCTTTTATTTGCCAGAAACTGTGCATTGAGAACATAGCATTGAACAAAATGGACCCTCATTCAGTTCACTTCCTAGTGAGTTGTAAGAGTTCCCACTTATGAGGCTTATATATTGAGTTAGGCAGTATTCTAAATGCTTTATATGTTATCTCATTCAGAGAGGAAAAAAAAAGTTACAATAGACTCAAAAGAAGTCCCAAAGTGTGTTTTTGAGGCAAGCAATAAAATGGACAAATCTCTTGTTTTAGTGAATCCAGAAAGAGAGAGCACATGAGAAAGAATGAGAAAATGAGAAAGCACCTCAAGCATCCAGAAATCAGGGCCACCTTCCGAGAGGCAGGCTGAATCATCCTTCAAGCCCAGAGAAGTGGAAGCCAACTCAGGGAGAACCAGTTCAGGTAAGAGAACTTCTGTACCCATCTCATATTCCCTCTCTATATACCGACCCTTGAAGCACAAAGCCCCAGTTCACTCACTGGGAAAGGCAAAAAGGAGAGAAGGTGAATCAAGACCCCAACTCCCACTGCAAGTTTGCAGCCTAAAACAGTCTCAGGAGGAGAAGGGGAAAATTTTTTGAGGGTAAATGTAGTTCAGAATTTTGTTAATACTAGGACTGAGTATGCAAATAATTGAATTGTGTTTTTTACTTAATTAGATCTTTTATCCAGATGGGTTTATTAGAATTTTCATCTAGGCACAGGGGAAGAATACCCACACTGAGAAATGTATGAAGGGATGATGGGAAGACAATCAGTTATTTTGATTGTGTTGCCATTATTTTTTTTTTTTTTCAGTGTAATTGCATTAACATTATGACCAAAATAGGAACTTAGATATAGACAGCAGAGGTTAAAGAGATAAGCAACTTTAATACAATACAGACAAAAAAATTAAACAAAATCAAGTTATAAACAAAAAATTACAAGAAAAAAGTTAAAAATATTTATAATTTACCAAGATCAATTCAAGAACTAGAAGGAGGGGTGCCGGGGTAGCTCAGTCAGTTAAGCATCTGCCTTCAGCTCCGGTCATGATCCCAGGGTCCTGGAATTGGGTCCCGCATTGGGCTCCCTGCTCTGTGGGGAGCCTGCTTCTCCCTCTCCCTCTGCCTGCCACTCCCGCTGCTTGTGTGTGTGCCTTCTCTCCGCATCAAATAAATAAATAAAATTCTTAAAAAAAAAATAAACTAGAAGGATAACAGGATAACCACGAAAGAAATCGAATAGGATAACCACGAAAGAAATCGAATCAAGAAAGATTAAAGTGTTATAAAGAAAAGGTGCTAACTTTTTTTTTTATTTAGAGAATACTTTATTAGTTTTTGTAATCAAACCCACGTAGATAAGACCTTACGTATTTAATACAGTGCGTTACCCCTGTACAAATGGAAAAAATTATGTTTAACATTTCTAGACCAATATGGCTATTAATTTCTGTACAATGCCAACCCAACACGGTACAACTGGGATACTTTTTCCAAAGTTGACAGCACAGCTAAAGTTTCCAAAAATTCAAATTATTTATATATATATGTATATGTATGTATATGTATATATATATTTATTTATTTATATAAAAAGACCAATAGCAGTATGTTATGCATCAATAGCAGCAACAGCTTTTCCAGGTTCTGCAGTCATCTGAACAAAATTATAGAGACATCCAGCACACTCCATTAATAAAAAAGGGGGGGGGAAGGTAAAAAAACAAAACCCCAGAAAACAGCAAAGTTCTGTTACTGTTGTGGTACCTGGCACCATTTTTTTATTAGCTTCTCAATCATCATCTGGAAAGAAAACATTCTAGAATAACGTCATTAAAAACAGCTCTGATAAAGCACGGTCACTATTACGTATCATAAAGCAGGTACAAGATATTTTACATTCACAGAGGTATGATACAGTACTGTCCTACATCTATAATACTAGAAGATACAATTAAAAAGGCATTATTTGAGACTTGATTCTACTTTTCCAGCAGAGGGCCCAAAGGATGGTATGACACAGCTCTGGTGAAGAAATGAAAAGGTGCTAACTTTTATGGAAAAAAATCTGTTACCAGCTCTTCCAGAGAATTAAAAAAAAAAAATAGGAAACACTCCTCAATTTGTTCAATAAAGGTAGTTTAAACTTGTTTTAAAAAGCAGAGGAAGCATTTGTGAGAAAGTAATTATACAGGTCAATTCATTCATGAACAAAAATGCATAAATATTCCAAATAAAATGTTATCAAACCAGATCTAGCAATGTACCAAAAAGGATTAAATTAGGTTTTCTCCCTCTAGAAAAACCAATTGTGGATTAACCCTAGGGGGAAAACTTCATGTCAGTTTTCCACAATACCAGATAAAAAGATGAAATTTATGTAACATTTAAATAAATGCAGCAGAATAATTTGAATTTGTTACATATCAACCTTTAATCATAATAGTAAACCAGGACTAGATGAACAATTCCTCAACATAATGTTCTCTTCAGGTTAATTTCTAGCAGTCCTGGAATTAGCCTGAGCTGTTTTGCTCTAAGTTTCTGTCTGGCACTAACCTCTGTTTGCAGTACCTGAAACATGCCTACTAATAATGTTGCTTTTGTAACCTTGGACCCAAGGAGTTTTATGGTGATTTTTAACAGCCTGTCAGCATTGTTTATTGGTAAGAGTGAGATTGATGATTTGCATCTGGTCTTTGTGAGAGCCCCCCCCCGCAGAGAGAGCACTGCTGTTGAGGCTGATTTTGTACCAGGAATTTGCATATGTATCCAGCAAAATATTAGAAAACCCAGTGAGACTCCTGGGCTCTCTTTTTCCAAGGTGTCTTATGCATGTGTAGGGGGTTCCTTATCGGAGAGAGAAAGTGCTTACAACCATGACTATTATAGAAAGTAGAAGACAGAAGCTTACACCAGGTCTGTGTGGACCCTTGCTGTAAGACAGCCTTTGGCAGTGATCCAGAGTCGCACTTGAACATTGTTGTTGTATCCATTTCCTCTAATGAGTAATAGATTTGTAAGTATTTTTTTTTTTAAAGATTTTATTTATTTGAGAGAGAGAATGAGATAGAGAGAGAGCATGAGAAGCGGGAGGGTCAGAAGGAGAAGCAGACTCCCTGCTGAGCAGGGAGCCCAATGCGGGACTCGATCCCGGGA